CACTCTCTCTCTCTCTCTCTCTCTCTCTCTCTCTCTCTCTCTCTCTCTCGCTTTTTTCCGCTCGTAATTTCATACATATAATGAAACAATAACGTTTTTAATGAGAACACTCAGTACATGGGAAATTATTTATTTCTAAACATTAAAAGGGAAAATAAATAATAATTTACTACCCTCTGTTATGAATTTACGTTAAAATCGTAAACATATGAAACATTAATTGTAATTTCTTTTAATAAATCGTAATATCGTTGTGAATTTATAATAATAAATCTACCGGAAAGATACAATATCTCGTTGACTCCGTGCACGTCCATATTACCTCGCTTCGATACGTTGACTGAATCTCGATATCAGAATTCCCGATACCGGTCATTCTCTCCTCGAGGAAACTGCAACTCGCGCCTCGAGTTTCGCCGAGAAACCCCAGATAACAGTCGCATCTACGGCGTAACTCCCGCCGAAAGTAGCTTTTACGGTGACGTCGCCGGTAGTTTCCGTGGGAAAAGAATTTAAGTGGGAAGCCGTGTAACTTATAACCAAGCTAGAGATTGGCGTCGCGAAGGAAACGACGAATAAACGCGAGAAGAAGATCCAGAGATGGTCAACTACGTAGACACCTGGTCGCATCCGCGACCGTATATCGAATTTTCCGGAAGGAAATTTTGAATATGTGAGAGCCGACACTTAAACATTCGAAAATTTCTGCAGCTGTGACAAGGAGAATAATCCCAAAATAATCTAATTTACTAACTGCGCTATAATTACATTATCCTCGCTTATTATAATTTATTAAAAAATATCATAACCAAAAAAAATCACAACGATGGAATCATCTCATTTCGCTTTTTTTCTTTTTTACGTAATTCTCACGCTTTTAATTTGTACCTCATTATTCACCTTGTTTCTTTTTTTATAAGAAGACGATTAAATTAATTGTATTTGTTGGGTATAACTACCAACCGTGATAGATATCGTCTTCCCTTATGGAATATCCTCTACGCGATATCGCCGTGAGAAACAACGGGAAGTGAGTGATATATAGTACACATACATGTTTATATATAGATCCGATAATAACGTCGATGCAGGCGGAAATTGAAATCTTGCACCGTACTCGACGGCGAACCTCGAAAATTCAGTTTTCTGATCAACTAAACCGCTTCGTAAAGTAAATTTCTGCTACAGCCCGTTTGTATTTTGTATGCACAGCACTTTAACATTTTAATATCGAGCTCTCAAATATTTTGAAAAAATATTTGTAAGAAATATTTGTAAGAATAAAGTTAGTCACTTGTAAGTAAAACATTATTTTACATGTATCTAACATAATTATCGTATAATTAAATATGAGATGATTGTTTGTAACATAATTAATTTGTTTGTATTTTTATAATTATTTATGCTTTATTTAAATTTATGCTCTATTCGCAATTAATGTTGTTTACATTTAAATAATCTCTTATCATTTAATTATTTATTATTTTTTTACATCAGCGTGTATCTTATTATTGTTTTATTATCCAAATAGAAGAAAGACACGCGTTGCAAACAATAATTGCTACAGGATTTACATTCAGCAATTCTGATAATTTTCCAGAGAAATACGGAAAATCGCGAAATGAGCGGATAACGAGCGCTTTCACCGCTTAATTTTAATCAGTCCAATTAACGGCGTTATCTACTGCGAAGTTGCCAAAAATTTAAATTAAATGCGCATTGTGCACGCGAAAGTTGAATTACGTTATCGCTGTATTTATTGTATAAAATGCTTTTGTTGCGTTTCCAGAAGAGTGCTCTCTTATTCGTGACAAGTAATTATTTCTTCGACTACTATCCATGGAAATTTTACGAAAAGTCGGCTAAATCTTGCCTTCTAGTTCCATAGCATAATACTGTAAGTCATTATGGAAATGGAAAAAGGATATCTTTGAATTATGTCATTTAAATTTATGCATGAACAAATTTTATAAAAATAATTTTTTCCAAATTAAAATTACAGCAAAGTATTAGATATTTAGATATTAGAATTTTTACTGTGTGTGTGTGTGTGTGTGTGTGTGTGTGTGTGTGTGTGTGTGTGTGTGTGTGTGTGTGTGTGTGTGTGTGTGTGT